ACCGATTTTTACAAACAACGTGTCAAAATAAAGTATTTATTGTGTAGACGCCCCCTTTTAACAATTCCTGTAATAAAAATCCTCGGGCTTTGTCCCACAGGCCATCAAAGTTGGAGTTTCTCCCATAAGGTTAACATGGGGGAATCTAAATATTTAACTGGAAACTTTGTCCCCACTAATTTGAGAGAACGGCTGGGCGTAGAAACTTGGTAGATGTGTCCAAAGAAAGGTCTTGGTCTGTAGATGAGTTATCAAAAGAAAAACTAAGCAAAATCCCTTAGGACTCTGCCCCAGAAGCCTTTAAAGATCCCTCCACAGAGTTGTTTACATTTTGGCCATGTGAATAATACTTTTTAATGAAACAGCTGTTCATTTTTAAATTGTATTTCAAACAATCTATCTATATATTAATAGGCAAGCATGTTTATTTAAAACCTTTTTTCTCAGCTCGTGTGCATCGTAGGTAAAATCTACGCATACTGTTAGAAAGCAATTTTCCTGTAGGTGTGCAGAATCCCTTTATAAATTAAAATAGGCTCAAAAATAAGCACAAAAAATGAATTTAAAATTTTGAAAAATTTAACATGGATATTATGAGTTGCCATGCTGGTGACGAAATAACAACGAAATATAAACAGAAAATCAAAACAAATGGAAGAAACTCCAATCACATGTTCTATTCAAAGTGTGGAATGAAAATAAAGAAGTCTGTACATTAAATATTTTTGGTCGAGTTTCGACCACTGGACGACCTCTAGTACACATTAATTGGGAGTTACTGAATTCTACCAAATAAGTATTTGCAATGTTATTTTTTTATTTTAAAATAGATTTTCTTCTTTATCATGTCATGTTTTGCAATATAACGTTCAATTATGAAATCAGTGGAAAATCCTTTTATCACAGCAATTCTTAAATCATTTCTTATTGAACTATCTTATATCTATTGTACGGGTTGGTGTCTGCCTCTTTCACCACTTTTGCCTACATTTTATCATATTATTCTACACATATCAAATATTTATGTAGAAATATCAGCTCTTATCGTGTCTAATAAAATCCAAACATAGAAACCTTGCCTAAAATGGTACCCATCTTGACAAATTATTTGCACCAGCCAATATTACGGACTTTGGCGGGGTTTTGGGGTCAGGTTGGTAACGTTATTGAAAATAACACAACATTTTGGCTGTAAAATATGATACAAAGAGAAAATACTATTTAAGCAGCTACTATCATGACAGAAAGGTCACATTCCTTTTAAACTAGATCGGATAATCCTTTATAAGATACGGTGATTAACAATATGTAAACGTCAATATATACGTAACAGCCAATTTACAGTATTTTTGCTTTTTGGAAATGTCCCATTGCTGTCATTTGCATTATTTGTTGCCAATGAAGCCGCCAAGATCATATGAACTAGGAGGCCCCTAACAGTTCAAGAATAAAAGCCAACTTCACTTCAAGTATTCCACTACACCTAACATTCCGTAGAGACAATTTTGACAACTTTATGTTATTGATAAGGCTGAGACAACTAACTGACATCCCCCATGTCAAGGAATTCCACCTTCAACAGTAACCCCACAATCAATTTCTCAAAACTATGCTAGAGGGTTCATTCATTGGCACAGAAGTACGATATGAACTGACGCGACGTGACGAAGGAAAAATCAAACTTACACTGTAACGGATATAACTCCCTTTGAAGTTAGAATATGTCTTCCCAAAAAATATTTTGTTTTAAAATAAAATCATATTACACTGATGAAATCACGGAAGTGTTTAACTACAAAAGATCCACCAATACGATTTTAATACTATTTAAAGGTTCTTCCAAAGGAAGAGATACCATATAACATACTAATAATAACTCCGATGACGTACAGTATAGAAAATATTTTAATCATTGAATGATCAACCAAATTTGGCAACTAACGCAATTAATACAATTATCGTTTTTACACTTATTACTCTTTAAAAAATGCTCAAAATATGTATATGTCACCCAATTTATCGCAGTTAGATGAATTAACGTAAGCCTTGATAGTAACCGTCGATTTCGACGGGTTTTACCTAGTATATATATACACTAGTGAGTCGGTGGCTCAATCAGTAGCGTCGCGGACTTCAGGCCCAAGGCAGCGATGTCGTGGGTTCGGATCCTGGTCACTACCGATAACATTTTATCAGTACAGTTCACCTTTGTACTGTACCGGCTCACTCCTTGCTTTGCTGTTAACGATCCACGCACGGGCGCTTAGTTTATGTGGACGGGCAAATGCAAGGTTAAAAGAGGCCGCCAACCTCTTTAAAAAAAAAAAAAAAAAAAAAAAAACTAGCTGTGTACCCGTTCTACGCACGGGGATCTTATAGTATTCAGTTGAAACCTTCTTATATAAAGAACAGCAGTTTTGGTTTGCATATTTTCAGATATGCTGGCCAAACTATTATACATAACTTCATTTTTTGTTGTTTATGGTTGTTTCGGATCGGTATGACAATCAATAAAAGGTTAAATTACTTGTGTCCGCCGGTCAATTCTAATGTATCCTATTACAGGAGATGCATTTCGCCAAAATTAAATCGCCATCATCAGTCCTAATATAAGGTCTTGAGCTTCCCCATTAGGTGCGTCTTGAGTTTTTGAAACACAAACACAAACTGTACACTTATATGCATGACGAATAAAACATAAATACACGGTAGGCCTAATTTTATTTTTACTATGGACATGTAGACGCCCGTCGATCGTGTGCCGAGTCTCGACTGAAAACGCTCATTTTAAAAATGTAAGTTTCCCAGTCATATACAACACTGATTCAAGGTCTTTTTCCCGGTTATTAAAAATCAAGAACAATTTTATACACAAAGAATCTTTATTTTCATTTACGGTTACCATACCATTATTGCACTTGCGATTAATTAAATCCGTTATGTAGGGAAAAACGTTTTTAATCTTACTTGGTTTGGATTTGCTTTCAAAACATGATCGGAATTGGTTGCGGTATTTGTAAACAACATTCAATGTAAACATATCAGTGACATCTAGAAGAAATAGTCTTGATTCGAACAGCTGTTCGTTATTTCATAGATCAATATGTGATGAACATTGGGAGAAAACTTTACAAAAAATCGCACAAAATTGGGTTTTTAAACATCCGTCATTTTATTTACAAAGTAGTGACGCCATATTTTAATGGCTAAAGACAATCTCGCCAATCCAGTGAATACATTAAAATGATTTGGAACTTGATAGGTACTCTTGTTTTTCAGGAGAAGGCCACGTAAAATGGCTCTTGGGGCCGTGACAGACAGGAAGACAGACAGAAATTTAGATGAGACTTGTTTCGGTTTCTTTAATCTATAAAACATAAAAATAACCTAAAAGTTTGATTCTGAGCAATGTACAGACAAAACTCAAATTTTATTTATATAGATATAGATATGAATTTGAACTGATGGTGTTTTTGGTCTCTAGGGACCTCAAAACGAAAAAGTAAATCGGTCCCAGGTCCAGGTCTTACCTTGAGCACTAAGATAATAGCTTAATCCCTATATGGAAAATTTTCTTTTTCAGTCTTCTTTTCTTAGTACTGTAATTTTAATTATTTCACGAGGTTTTGAGCACGTTAAATCGAGCAAAAATGATCCCATTTCGATGAAATTTGTTATGAACGTGAAAACATACATTTATTTGATTTAGTTCACTAACCAGCTTGATCGGACTATGGGAACGGAGGTTTATGGGGTAAAAACAGGGTTTTCCTAATTTTACCCTTAAAACACAAAATTTCATAATTTTCTTTCCAAACAATTTTGTAGAGTTAAAAAAACAAAAAATTTAGTATATTGAAGCGTTATTGTGCGCCTAATGGCTACAAAGAAAGTTCTAAGAAACTGTAAATTTAAAATTCCCATGTTATTCTAATGGAGAATAAGTCAACCGTTGTAGTTTGCTTGTTTATGAACATATTTTGATCAAATTTGGAAAATACATTAATTTTTTATTAAACTATTCAGATTTTTACAACAAAAAACCACTGTTTTACCCTTCCTGTTGCAGCAAACCTAAGTACTCGTTAAACTAATTCTACTTAAATAGAGAATGAATGTGATATTTTTAAGCATGTATTTTAGTGTAAATCCAATAAGGCAAATGGAAGTTTGCTTAGTCTGCAGGTTCGTTGCGGCGGGGGTATTTTGTATTTTTATTAAAGACATTTCCAAAAATTGTGGGGCACGAGGGGGACGCCTATGCTTGAAATAAATAGAATAAGATGAATTTAGCCAACACAAAACAAAGGTTCATTAAATATTTTACACAATGTTTATTGTTAATTATTAAGACTACCTGCAGTTTCCAAAGTCAATGTTATTATTTATATGACCAAAAACAGCAGGTGTTAATATAGAGAGTATTTTATCTATGGTAGTATTATCAAAACATAACATGAACCTTCTAACTGTTTCAAATTTGATTAAAGTATAATAATTTGTAAGAACATTTTATAGAATGACACAATATTAAAAAATGCAGAAAATAATACTGGATAAATTTACACCATTTATTAGTCTTACAACATCAAACAATTGTGTTCAGTTTGCAATGAGAAGATATGATTTTGATTTTAAGTGAACAAAAACTGTGACCAGAACACTTGATATAAAAACCATTGACAAATACTTTAAACAAGTAAAAATTATGTGTTCGAAGACAAAATGTTCATTTTCTAAAAGTTTGTTCGGTTTCTTTTGAGAAATTATCACATTCATCACCCTATGACTTGATGTCACGTCCAAATGAATGAGAATACAGAATAAAAATATAAAACATATAAGGATAAGTGTTAACAGAAAAAACACTATGTTTAGTGAGAGTTTAAAAAGTTGTTGGACCTGAGGGAACATGTTTTCTGATAACAGCAGCAATAAAGTCCTCAGCACACTGATTAGTAAGAAAAACGCAAGCATAAAAACAATATAGCTGTGAAAACTCATAAATCTGTCAAAGTCAAAGTAGTTGTGTCTCTTGTTGTAGTACCTTTCCCACAAATCGTTAACGTTACACTTGTATAAATGAAAGAGGTAGGCCACAACAACAAGGTTACTTGGAATCACAATCAACAGGAGCAAGTTGTTTTTCACATCCTTAAAGAACTTTATAAATCCGTTGTAGTTGATTAGATAAACAATTTCTAACATATACACAAGAGTCAATACGATAAAAGCTATGTGATGAAACCTGATACCGTCACAGTCAATGATGACAGATGTCACTCTAGCTGCCCTCAGAGATACGTCTGCCGTTAGAAACTCTATGATCAAAGTGATTTGACTCAAGCTGCGGAGGTCGACGTTGTATAGAGTCAGTTCTATAAACACAGATTTGGTCATTTGATCTATCCAATGGTTCACCACTAACTGTGTTGTAGTCTTGACTGTTTCTTTTATTGAAGACCCAATCCTGGCCTTATACCCTCCATTGTTGTAGACTATATCAGACTGTCCCTGAAGTCTGTAGAATGTTTCCAGCCAGTTGGCCGTCGGAGGATGGTAGACCCAAGGGTCGTCCATGGAACTTTCCGATGTTCCGGAAGGTGAGTAGACAGACCAGCCCATATTGTAAGGATCCTTATCTTCTGACAGAGAACTCCAATGAGGGATACAACGGTTAACCGGGGGTACAAAACTGTTACAAGGAACATCGTAGACTCGCTGTTGCCTCACAGAAGGGGTTCCGACCAATCTCCACGAGTAGTCAGAAGTCCAGTACATAGTGTTTGTATATTACTTACTTAAAAGTCTTTGTTTAAAATAATTTGTTTAACATATGTTGTCAATAATAATTAAGCAATGATATTGATTGTAAACAGTTATAGAATAAAGAGAAACAACTTGAATGTTAAAAAATACTTTTTACTTTTTATCAAATTAAACATGGCGCAGTCGGTAAAGATTTGATTAAGAATAATATCAGAAGAATATACACAGAAATGGAATTTAACAAACCGGATATCCTAAGCCTTGAAGGCAACTTGGAGGAAAATTTTAGGACATTTAAAGAAGAAGTGGAGATATATTTTATAGCCACTGAAACCGTTTTTCCTGGCAAATATTTTAGTTTAAAACTGTATATCATCAATTTAAGTCTGAGTCTTCTTATTCTGTTATTGACAATTTTAAACAATGACTTATTAAAAATTGACAACAGAGGTAAATGGTCTGTAAAAATTGTCACATTTTCATTTCCATATATATAGTTGTGGTATTTCTTGCGCGAAAAACAAATAGCTAATAATTCTTTTTCAATTTGAGCATAATTAACTTCTGCTGTGGTCAGACTTCTTGAAAAGTAACTAACAGGCCTGCCATTTTGCATGCAACAACACCCTACAGAATCCTGTGAAGCATCACATTGTATTTCAATAGGAAGAGATGGATCAAAATTCCCTAAGACCTGATTACTACAGAGTGATTGTTTGATTTTTTTAAGAGCATTAGAATGATGTTCATACCATTGCCAGGGAACATTCTTTTTTAGTAAATCTCTAAGAGGTGATGCTATTGAAGCCAAATTAGGGACAAAATTTCTGATGTAATTTACCATACCTAAAAATCTTTGTAATTCTACCTTAGATGTAGGAGTTTTAAAATTCTTTATTGCATCTATTTTTGAAGGATCCGGTTGCATCCCTTGTTCACTGAATACAGCACCAATATACTTTACCTTATTAACACAGTATTGCATTTTACTATAGTTAAATCTAATATTATACTGTTTTGCTCTTTCCATTACCTGCTTTATAATTTTATCATTTTCCTCTTTAGTATCAGTAGCAATGCACAAATCATCGAAATAGATTGAAAGACCTTTAATATCTTTGAAATATTTGTGTACCAATCTTTGAAATATTTCAGGTACACAAGAGAGGCCAAAAGGTGCCCTCAAAAATCTGTAAGTTCCAAAGATTGTGCTGAATGAACACATTTTACTGGATTCTTCATCTAGTTTTATATGATAAAACCCGTCTTTCAAATCTAAAATTGTAAAGTATTTCTTATTACTTAAGTTTGGAGCCAAGTCCTCTAGTAAAGGAATTGCATACCTCTCTCTTATGATATATTTATTAAGTTGTGTAGGATCAATACAGATTCTTAAAGATCCATTTGGCTTTTCTAGTACTACAATATTATTGACCCATTCAACCGGCTCTTCAACTTGCTTAATAATTTCATTGTCAACCAGCGAATTTAATGCCTTTTCAAATTTATTTTTAATTTTGTATGGTATTCTTCTAGCGGAACTTACTTGTGGTACTGCATCTTCCTTTAATTTTATCTTACAAATGTCAGGGAAACAACCCACACCATCAAAAACATCTTTATAATTGTTATAAATTTTTAATTTTTCTTCATCTTCTTTTACTGATAAACCATTAGCAACAGTGTCTACCTTCTTTATTAAATTTAAACTTAGACAAGATTTCAGCCCTAGGATTGGAGTACATTCTCCACTGACCACTACTAACTTTACAACATCCATTTTATTTTCTGTCTCAATCTGTGCATCTATGTATCCTACTGGATTTATTTGAAACCCCCCAAATGAAATTAGTTTGTTTAGGTTTTTCTTCATCCTATTTTGTAGTTTATTTAGTTTTACAAAGGAATATGGGACAATGTCTACTTCAGACCCAGTATTGCAGATTTTTTATCTCGGAATGGTATTAAAGATGAGGTTGAATGGCATGAACCCTTAGATGGTATTGTGCATTGTATTGAATCTTCTGAAGTGAAGTTTAGTGATAGAAGACTTGAGGAATTTAAAGAGGAAACAAGAAATGATGATGTTTTAAACAAAGTTATACAATTTTGTAAAACCCAATGGCCAAAATCTGTTAATGATGGTGATCTAAAGACTTATTTCAATATGAGAAATGATGTAACTCATCAAGATGGATTACTCTATTTGAATGACAAACTTATAATACCAAGTAAACTGAGGAAATTTATGCTGTCACACCTGCATGAGACTCATCTGGGAACAACTAAAATATTGAAAACTGCCAATTTATTTTTTTACTGGCCAGGAATGTCATCAGACATAAGAAATACAGTATCTCAATGTTCTATATGTATGAAACACCAACGTTCAAAATTGAATGAACCTTTAAAAGTTCACAGTGTTCCTCAAATACCTTTCATCAAGATTGGAGCTGATATTGCTGAATATGCAGGTAAATACTATCTTGTAACTGTTGACTTTTATTCACGTTGGATTGATGTATTTAAGTTGAACAGTAAAAACAGTAATACAATAATTGGTAAATTCAAAGAGCTATTTAGTCGAAATGGGATCCCTATGTATTTGGTGGCTGATAATCAACCATTTAATAGCTATGAAATGAAACAGTTTTCTATAAATTGGAATTTTACAATAATCACATCAAGTCCTCACTATCCAAAAAGTAATGGACTAGCAGAAAAGGCTGTAGGAATTGTAAAGAAAATGTTACAGAAGAGTGCTGAAAGTAAACAGGATTTTGAACTCTTCTTATTAAATTATAGAAACGCACCTGTTGCAAACCTGGACTATTCACCTTCTCAGCTTTTAAACAGCAGACACATAAGATCAAAACTACCTATACCAAACAGTTATTTACAGCCTAAAACAGTTTCTTTTGAGGTACATGAAAGCATAAATGAAAGCAAAAGGTATCAAGAACAAATGTATAACAGATCAGCCTTGAAAAAAGAAGATGAATTCCAAGTTGGAGAAGAGGTTTTAGTACAGGATATTAAAACCAAATTTTGGAATCCTGGTGTGATTTTTAAAAAATTACCGGAACCTCGTTCTTATTTGGTAAAATTAGAAAGTAATATTGTTTTAAGAAGAAACACACTCCATATAAGAAAAATTAAATCTATGTTAAAAAAGAAGGACAGTCAAGACGGCTAAAAAAGGGAGATGTTTGTATATTACTTACTTAAAAGTCTTTGTTTAAAATAATTTGTTTAACATATGTTGTCAATAATAATTAAGCAATGATATTGATTGTAAACAGTTATAGAATAAAGAGAAACAACTTGAATGTTAAAAAATACTTTTTACTTTTTATCAAATTAAACACATAGAGCTATCCGTTTGATTGAGAGACCACATATTGTACCATCTGTTTTCAAAAATCACTTTCAAAAAAGCGTTATTAAAATAATTATTGAGTTCTATTAAACCACTAGCTTCAAAAAAGTCACTGTCACCTCCATATTGAGGTGCAATCATCGTTTCCAAGTGACTGCTCCTAAAAAAGTGTGAACGCCTTAAATGATGTACAGTGATGACCACAGTGATGATGTAGCATACAGATATTAAGAATCGTAGAGTTTTCACAAAATAAATAACTTTAAACCATTTCTTCAATAACTCTTTTCGATTTTCAAGTTTAATCGGTTTGTACATGGGGTGTTTTCTTTTAGCAATTAGGTCTTCAACACTATTGTTTTGTATTACCGTCACAGAAAAGTTAATATCTTCTTTAGTCGCTCGATAGTTAGATAATGCAACAAAGCCGAAACTGGCAGAAATTGAAGTGGCTAGGAGCACGATGCTTATTGGGTTAAGGAACAGTTGATCGTAAATATAGGATATACAAATAGCAGAAAGCCACTTTTTACTACTCACTAAGCCCATTTGAAGACCGTAAAGCATTATGAAATAGACACTGAAAAAGATAATGGTAGCACATACAAACCAGGCTAATATCAGCCAAAATGAATTAACACGTATCGTACAATCAGTGTGAGGTAGCACTGCGGGGATTAGCTTTTCAGTTTTAACAATTTGTTGAACTACTCGAGCAATCCTAGACCTGAAACCTCTTGATTTAACAGTTAGAGCTGCTGGCTTAGGAATAAAAGCAGCTGTATTTCTGGAGTAGTTATCAGACTCAAAATATTTATCCAAGAGCTCACTGCGCCTTAAGTACAGTGAACTACGATTGTGTGATATCACACAAGTGTAGCTTCTTTCAAATAGCAATTTGATAATATAGTTGACTGCAACTATAATTATTGCTGTTATAAAGCTAACAAATAACTCTTTGTTTCTCACGTTGTACCTGTAATAGTCAGGTCTCGTTCTTTTAGGGTTAGTTGTGTAAAACATTATACTAAACAATAAAGCGATGAGTAAACTACAAGTAAACATGTTGACTCTCTGCTCTCGCTTGACAGTGCTCCTAGGATGTTGTGTGAGAACTCCTGTCACAAACCGTTGTTCTCTCATACACTTGGATATGTTTTCGCTCAACACATGTTTTATCTTGAGAATGTCGTCACTGCTGGCCGGACATATCAGAGCCTCAGGGTAGTTTGTCTTGTTCAGTACTAACCATTGCTCTACAATAAAGAAACACTCCAAGCTACTGTTGATGTCATAAACATGCACTTTGACACAATACCAATCTGGACTCATGCCGGAATTGTCATGCCATATTTGAAGATATTTTATAATACCCAGAGGTTTGGGACACATCATGAGGAACCAGTCATCAGAATGTCTACTGAACACCTTGTAGTAGCTACTACTCAATATGTGAGCTCGACTTTCAGCTAGCTCTCCAAAGAGTTTAACTCCAACATTAGAGGAAGTCCCAGCAAACAGACGCGAGCTTGTGTAAACTGCCAGCAAATAAGGGTGTTCGTCTAATGGAAAATTGTCATTCAGCACCGTAATAGACCCACGGTAGCGATCTTTTTTGTCCAAGTGATGAGCA